CATCGTGCCACAAAAACAAGAAAAGAAGAAAAGGTGTGTTTTTTTCAATAACTATCTTTTCTCTGAACATTTATGTATATATAAATTATCCAGCCAAAAAGTTATAGATGATTTAATGAAGAAAAAAAAACAAAAACGACGATTTTCTACTTCGTTTTTTAATTATGATCGATATTAAAAAATAGTAATAAATTATTTTGATGGAAAATTCAATTTTCTAAGAAAAAGTACTCTAGGAAATTTCTTTGTTTTTGAGTGATTTTGAGGAAACTAAAAGGGGTGCCTTTTAAAAAATTACCTACTCAAAACGCCACTCCTTAAAAAAGAGGTATATTGTGGTTTTATCATCTTTAGAGGCCATATTCAATCATATCAATCATAAAATCTTTTTAACGCAATTGTTCCATACTAAAATCTGAATGAATTGAAGGTAAAATAAACGCAGACTGTGAACTTTTAATGGTTTACTACAAGAAAAATACCTTAATTAAAATATAATCTCTTTGGGTTGCTTGTGAATTATTTTATTGCTAAAGTCTTGCTAGGTTTTCAATGAGAATTTTTCAACAAACACTCATCACTACAATATGCGGTAAGGCGTTGAAATTGTTCAAAGTTTTACTCTTTTCGGGAAAGAACGCTTTTGAGTCAACCAACTTTCAGTTATGCATTGCGCGGGAATAATGAATCAGACGTTTCATTACAATTTTTGGGTCTCTTTGGTGGGGGGGGGGTAGTCGCCCGACCCTATTTGGCGACATTTTTGGTCAGAAACGGTACAGGTTATACGTTATTGATTCATGCAGAATATCCTTTCAATATTTACTTTCTGTAATACATACGTATACATGTAAAATTTGGCATTTGTGCTTTCGTCATGAACAGAACGTTATTAAAACTAATTAAAGTTCGTTAATTGTCCTATCACAAAATAGGTAATTAAAAAAGATCGTACTAGCACTACAATATTAATGATTGCAATAAATTATATTATGTATCAGAGATATCAGAACTCTCTGAATGTGGTAAAATATTGGGTACCTAGTATCTAATATACTGTCAAATAATAATTAATTTCATTCATTTATTTACAAACATCATTCCGGTTAATATGGTATAAGTTACTGAAACGGCTAACGCAACAAGGTTATATTCATCCTGAGGTTATACATACATAGATACTACGAAAGAAAGTACCTATCTATTTATAATACCGTTTTTAATTAAGGTCTAAGAGGTGTTTGTAAACAAAGTATCATATACACATATAAGATATTGCATTTGTTGTATTTACTTATTCTCAACCTTCGTGGTTTAGTTAAACAAAAACCTATTAAGAGATTCTTAAGAGGGCAAGTCTATAAACAAAAAAAAATGAGAGAAAACAATGAAATAATGAATGGGATTTATATTGCAATACGTACATAGAATTTGTACATTTAGAAAAAGCTTTTGACAATGTTAAATGGGACAAGATGTTAAATATACTTAAAAATGTAGGAATGAGTTACAGAGATAGAAGAGTGATACTTAAATTGTATAAAGATCAACAGGCAGTTATACAGCTAGAGCTGAAACGTGGAGAAGAAAAAATATTAGGAAGGAAGTCAGAGAGGGATGCACACTGTCACCGCTACTTTTTAATCTATACATCTAAGACGCGATCAACATCATTAAAGACAGTACAACTGTAGGGATACATGTACAGGAGCAAAAGATTAGTATGCTTAGATTTGCAGATGATATAGCAGTATTAGCATCTAGCAAGGAGGACCTAGAGATAGCTTTAAATAAAATGGAAGCGGTACTGACAGATCAGTACTGTATGAAAATAAATAAAAGTAAAACTAAAATACTGATATGCAAGGGAAGAAAAAGTAGGGAAAGAGCGAATATAAAGATAGGAGACGAAAAATTAGAAGAAGTGGCTGATTTTAGATACCTAGGAAGTCAGATAAGTGAGGATGGAAGGAGTAGTAGGGATATAAAGCAGAGGATAGCGCAGGGTCGTGTCGCCTTTAATAAAAAGAAGTCACTTCTATGCTCGCGAACGGTTAATTTAGAAATTCGAAAAAGGTTGTTAAAGGTGTATGTTTGGAGCACGGCGTTGTACGGGTGCGAAACATGGACAGTGGGAGCGGCGGAAAAGAAAAGGTTAGAAGCGTTCGAAATGTGGTGTTATAGGCGGATGATGAGGATATCGTGGGTAGAAAAGGTTAGAAATGAAGAGGTATTGGAAAGAATAGGAGAACAGAGGACTCTATGGAAGTCAATAAAAAATAGGCGAGATAGGTTGGTAGGACACCTTCTCAGGCATGAAGGTCTAGTCAGAGACATATTAGAGGCAGAAACAGGAGTTAGGAGGGGTAGAGGTAGACCTAGATTAGATTACTGTTCGCAAATAGTTAAGGATGTGGGCTGTTCTAGTTTTAGGGAAATGCGAAGTTTAGGTCAGGATAGGAAAGAGTGGAGGTACGTGTCCAACCAGTCTTAGGACTGACGACTTTATGATGATGATGACGAACATAGAAACTGTTGTCAAAATAATAAAAAGCAGGATTTGCCATAGGGAGGGGTATGGTAAAAAAAATGTTGAAATCCACATTTTGTACACATCTATGACTACATATTAATAAAGAAAATCTGTAATGTTGAAATAACTGCCATGTTGTTAAGATAGCATGGTTATTTGTATATTATTAAGACACACATGACCCTTAAAAAAATATGTTTGACCTGTTTGTCTGTCTATACGGGCTAATCTTCAATTCAGCTAAACTGACTTTGGTGAGACTTTATAATAAACATGAAGAAAAGAGAAGAAACGAACTTACCATTCCTGATAATTATCCACGAATGCTGACATTGGAGAAATTTGTACGGTGTATGTATCATTGGCCGAATATTCAAAAAGTCCATAGTAAGGATTGAAAAGTTCCCTTGAAAGCAGGAAAAAGAACTCTCTCGATGGGCCTCCGTAATCTAATCCTTCTTCTCCGTCCCAAAGAACACACAACTTTCCTTTCTGCAATTCCTTCCTACTAGCTGCCATAATCCTTCTAAAGGCATCTTCTAGGAGCCTGTCCCTTCGAATATGGAGCCTAAATTTCCCTGGTCCTTGTCCGTAGCCTTTACTTTCTAATTTTCTGTAAAAAGAGCGCAATTTGGCCTCAAAATCTCGTCTATGTGAAGGACCAGAGGCTCTAAGCCGACTTAATCCAGGAGATGATTGTTGGGGAGACCCGCTGCGTACCGACGTTGTAGCTGAAGAAGGTACCGCTGCCGGGACGTAAGACATTATTTCTTGCTCGAAAAGGCTAAAACAATGGAAAAGAAATTTAAAAAAAAAATAATTACAAACAATATGTTGGAACAAAAAAAGATATAACTTTGCATATGAAATCTTATGAAACATATTACGTATTAGAATGAAGATTATGGTCTAGATTATATCTAGTTCGACTGGAGTCGCTGTCGAGACTTCGAGATATAATCTACGTTCACGTTGTCAACGCAGCACTACCACTGAGGATGTCAGCCGCAGTAGCTGACGAAACGTCTGGACACAATAGTTCACTTAGACCACGGCCCTATAGCCCGAATCTTCATTCTACTATGGATTCCGGCCGTGAAAGCCTTTGTTCTTATATATAACGTATTGTAAAAATGAAATTTAACGAAATTGTTAAAATATTTGGACAATTGGTGTAAAAGCTCTTTCTAATACTTCCTCATTCCTACCTTTCTCTATCCCGATATTTTTATCATACGCCATCTCAAACGCTTCTGATCTAGTATTGTATAAAGAAACACGATCGGAAGTTGAAAAAGAAATAATTTGTAAGTGTGCTTTCATATCATGGATCGAAAATAAATCAAAGTATGTTAATACTAAATGGTATATAAGTACTTAAATTTTACATTATCATATTAATTTAGTTGGTCTTTTACTAATAGGGTTTTTTTTTGTTTTAAACAGGCCCTTTTACTATATATGTATAGTGCTACGAGCAGAGGCAGATTAAATCTCGAGAGTGGCCTAAGCTAGTACCTTATGTACGCCCCTCTGGCGGTCATATATTTATACATCTCTATAAAAAGTATGGTTTTTTGTAAGTAGGTACTTCCTTAATTTTTTTTAGTTTAAAAACTTCCACGCGCGCCCCTTTCTAATCTTGTGCCGCAGTTTGCCTTATGGATAGTTCGTCACTGGCTACGAGCATTATTCGTAGTTTATGATTTCACTAATATTATAAAAACAGCAAAAAGCTTCAAATAAAATTCGATGCAACTATTTTTGAGCCTCAACCTTCAAATCACTATAGATCAAATTTCGCAAGAAGTTATGTAATAACTTTTTGGTATTAATTCGAAACAAACAACTTTTATCATACTGATCTTTTTAATCGATCAATCAATTATTAATGTTGAGTGAAAAAGTTACGGATTATTAGCTATAAAAAAGCTTACTTTTTTGCAGTAGGTATTTGCGATAATAGAGATTATTCAAAAAAAAATTTTGATCAGGTCAGAGTTTAATTCGCGCGCCTAGTGTTCCGTACCTTCATGGCATTCAATTCAATAATATAATTAAAAAAGGCATAGCATCGGTCCCTTAAACGTACTGAAAATTTAAAATTCGTGATTTTTGTTCCTATAATAGCTAGATTAAATTTGATGGTTCCGCTTCTTCTTTTTAAACTTTGGAACCTTAAAAACCAATTACACCCATTTTTCAGAATATACTTAATGGTGGAAGTTACGATCGCGAAAATCAAGTTTTTTTCCTCACTTTAATTTGGTGTTTGTAATATCTTGTAGATTTTAAAACAAAAATTTCTTTAAACCTATTGTAAAACAAAAAATTACTTTATATAGGTGTTTGTCGATAATTTTAGTAATTGCTTCAAATATCTCCTCTAAAAATGTTCAGTTGTAAAAAGATTTGAAAGTAAGTCATCAGTAATTAGAAAAAATTTCTCCACCTAACTATGTAATAAACGTGGTATCTGGTATAAGGAATCATTTGCTTTTGTAATACATACAAGGTGCGTTCCATAAGTAATTCAATCTAACCTAATAAACGTCATTTATTGTTCGTAATTAGATGATGAATTAGTAAAAAATTTACGAAATATCAACCTCCTGTGTTAATACATTTGTAGAGGGTGGAAGGCATCTGTGACTAGGCGCGTTATCATGATATTCGACAGCGCGCAAGTGTTTGGGGTACTTTCCCGATAGGTATGAATTTATTG